CCTCATTTTGATTATTTAAATTCCTATATATTCGTCAATAAATTTTTAAAGTAATATATTTTAAATTAATATTTTAAACAATGATATCATAAAAAGATGCTAGATTTAAATAGTTGTATTAATTACGAAGTACTAACCTTTGAATTGAACATCTTTCTTAAACTTTGCTTTTGCCTCATTATTTTTCTAACTGTATAAAATGAGTGACGAATTGAGTAAGAGCAAGACAAAGTATTTGCTTCCCTTGTGTATATTTTTTCATCAAATTAACAGTCCAAATGTAATTGTATATAAAATAAGTCACTCTTTTTGTATCATCCAAAACCTTTGCCACATTTTTTTTTGCCAATATCTTCAAGGCACAAATCTAACCAATGAGCTGAACATGTTGTCCAATACAAATATTTTTTTTCTCATTAGTCTTTTTCCTATAGCCTTAAGTACTGTCTCATTATCAGTGACTATTTGAATAATGTATTTTTCTCTAATTTCTTCACAACTTCATCCAATAATCTGTAGTAAAAGTTTGCATCTCTACTATGAATATTTAAGACATTTATAGATTTTTAAAAAATGGTTCCTTTACTATAGTAAACAAGGAAATTAATGATATGCATTTGATTTAAACCGTTAGTTTAACCATCATACATCAAAGTGACACCCAATTCATTCCAATGTGCTTTTAATCCATTAACCCATTCATGAATTTGTTGATACTAAAATTCTAAATACATATCTGAAACCTCATAAAGTGTTGAAAGTTTTACATATTGGCCAACTTCTATTACCATAGAAATCAAATTATAGAACCATAGAGAGTTTACTAACTGAAAAGGAAATTAATCATATATAAAAAATTTTGATATTGATTCACCCATCTTTCTTCTTATTGTCTTAAAAAATTAATCACTTGTTTTTAATTGGCTTAAACACTTACTTCTAACCAATTCAGGTATAACTCCCTTTAATGAAAATTCAGACTCATTTGGAGTAGATTTTTTTATCCTTTCTTCAAAATTTTCAGCAACTGAGCCATAAGAGCTTTTTCCTTCTTTATATATATATATATATATATATATATATTACTCCAACCACTAGTTTTTTGTCTTAATTCTTGTCTTCTATGCCACTCATGTTGTGATTTGATACTATCTCATATGGTTTATTCAGTAGTGGTGTCTTCATCAATCAATCATTCATAATCATCTTCTCCTTTTAACTTTGATAAAAATTTATTTTTTCTCTTTTTGTTGTCAACTTCTTTTTATTTAATTTTTTTAAGGAGTTTCATCATACTTTCTCTTACTATACCGATTAATAATATAGTTAAGAAAAAGGAAGAAAACTAGTTGCACATACTTATGTAATTTTATAATTTTTATTAAGAAATTAACAATAATATTTTAAAAAGAATTATAAAAATATAACATACGAGTAATGTTGGGGCATGGTCCAACATTGCCAGTTTTATGAGTAATGTGTTTCTTGAAATGTGCTATTCCTCTTTTTATAACTTTACCACAAAGTTTGCATGAAACATTTCCCTTTGTATTTGGTATTGGTGTTTCAAAATGCCAACCTGTATTATCACTTGGCATCCCATCTACTCCTTTAATCAGAAACTCTTCATGTGGTGGCATGCTTTTTATTTTGTATAAAAACAAAATAAATTTATATTTGAAAATATTAATGTTACTTATTCCATCATTAAAAATTGAATTTATGTTAGTTTTTTTAATTTTTAGTTTTTAATCTTAAGAGTAATGATCACAAAATCCTAAATTTATTAGGTAACTTAATTTTTTTAATACACTAATTGATATAAAAAATTTTTATCACTAATTACTTTCAATAATTATAAAATAAATAGAATTTTCAATAATTACACAAAAAATATTAAGAATTAATCTAATAGCAAAAGAATTGACAACTATATAAATACCAAGACAACAAAAAAATTATTAAATTTCAAATACAAAATCATAAATTAATAAATAACAAAATCAAAATATAATATTTAATTTTAATTATTTTTCATCTAACTTATACAAAATAATTTATAAAAAATTTTCATCTAAAATCTCTATATATATCATATTAAATTATTAATCCCTTATGTTTTTTCAATTATAAATCCCCAATCCCTCTAATTAGATTTTATCTAAAAAATTTTTTAAAATTAAAAAAAATTTAAACTTATATTTTAATAAAATTAATTACAAAATTAAATAAAAAACCCACCCTTCCCCTTTTGTCCCACTCCACCCACCCATCCTAAATTTCCCCAAAAATTTGGCTACCTAATTCCCTCCTCAAATCTTTTTTTGTTCTTTATGCCTTGGGCGTCTTCTTATTCTCCCATTTTTCTTTGCATCTTTCACTCTTTCTCGCATACTCTCGTTATTGTCACCTATCTAGTGCCTACATATTACGTCCCTCATCTCTATCAAATTCTTATAAAGATAGACATTATTTTACAAATGTTTGCAAAAAGATAAAAAGGTAATTTAACTTTCTCTTCTTACCTTTTTTAATCTTGATTGTTGATTGAAGACTTGAGGTTGATTTGAATTTAGATAATTTATGGATTGAGCTAGGGTTGCTGTCGATTGAATGGTTGATAAATGATTTGACCTCACCCCACCCTTCCCCTTTCGTCCCACTCTATCCACCACTCCCTAAATTTCCCCCAAATTTTAGCTATCTAATTCCCTCCTCAAATCTTCTTCTGTTCTTCATGCCTCAAGCGTCTTCTTTTTCTCTCATTTTTCTTTGCATCTCTCACTCTCTCTTGCATACCGTCGTCACTATCACCTGCCTAGTTTCTACAGAGTACCTCCCTCGTCTCTTTCAAATTCTCACAAAGATAAATATTATTTTATAGAAATTTTGCAAAAAAAAAAAAAAAGAGGTAATTTAACTTTCTATTTTTACTCTTGATTGTTGATTGAAGACTTAAGACTAATTTGAATTTGAGTAATTTGCAAATTGAGCTAGGGTTGTTGCCAATTGAATAGTTGATAAATGATTTGATATTGTTTTCTAGTATTGAAATTTTGGTTTTTTTTTTTTTTTTTTTATAACTTGAACTAGTGAGGAGAAAAATGGAGATAACGGCAATAACGAACTATTATTGCCGCCATTCTTTGTTATGTCATTTTTTAGTGGCCACTACATTTATTTTTCCCAATAATGGGGGCGGGTGACCACTATTCTACTATAAAACTACTATTTGATTCCTAGGCTTGTGGCTGCTTCCAACCCACCAAGGCTTGAACCCCAAGTGAACACTGGTTTCTTCTTCAACAGGAACAGGCAGATTAAGATCAAGAAAATCACGAATTTCCGGAATTGGCTTTTGAATTACAATAGTTTGGTTTTCTTTTGCCTCAGCAACTAAATGAGATCTCTTGTGACCACTAAGGCTTGGCATGATGGGAAAACCTTGAGACAAATGGGGCCCTCCATTTTTCCTTGTACATTTACATATAATAGAAACCTGCCCCCATTGTAACATAGAGAATTTTAGAAGGGGATTGGTTTTCATTTGGGGGGGGGGGGGGGGTGCACTTTATATGTAATGCTATCTTTTACCTTTTATAGAAACTCCACTAAGAGTCTGCGCACTTCTGTTCCATTGGAATGAGTTGACCTTCGGAATATAAACATACCGGCTACAAGGATCTGGTATTTTTGTTCGATTTGAACTTTCTATGCATCAGTATAATCAGTCTGTAATTTTTTTTATCAGTAATTTATTGTGTAGCATTTCAAAATCTATCATCGTCCTAACTTCTAATGTTGAAGTACAGGCAAAACAATGGTATCTAATCGGCAGAAGTGAAGAACATTGCCAGGTTTTTCTGTGTTTCACTTGAGTTGTACATATTTCTAAATTCTGGTTTTCCCTGATGAAGTAAAATAATTGCTTTATTTCAATGAGTATCTGTTAGCTTATTTGATGACATTCATTCCTCTTACTAATTCTGAAATTCCAAGTTATACTTTGGACATCACTCCGCTCTGTAACTTTAAGATGCTGCTGGACTGCCGCCGCAAAGCGATATATCGAAGAGTTAATTACAGTTATTTGAGAAGACGACGCAACTAAATCAAGCTGAAGAAAACAACTAAAAACACAAGATTTTCCGAATCCATGTACTTAAACCTTGAAGACAAGCTTACAAGCGAACTTCCCATATGAACAACACAATCAAAACCGCTTTTCGAAAAGCGGTTTTGATAAACCATGGATACCTTGACCAACACTTAACAAGCCGGAATCGACTAACCCTGATGTCTGACCAATCAAAGTATACCCATATAGCTGCTCCCCATAGGTCTCATCCAACTAAACAACTTCAATTCTTTATTCGAAAAGACACGACTTCGGCATACCAAAATCATAGAATTCCACAAAACAATTTTTTTTTTTTTAAATCTTAAGTTTAATTCAATTAATTTATACAATACCTTTTACAACTCATTTCCCTATTCTTAAACTATGAAATCCTTTGTAAAAAAAGTTCCTTACCAGAAATCCCATAGAAAACCTTGCCTGGCTTCGTCAACAAGGCATAGTTTTCACTATCCAGTCACAAGTGCACTACCAGGGATGGAATAATTGTGAGTATGCGTTTAAAAATTGCTAGCAATTAAAACAAGTAATCGACAATAAGGGGAAATAAAGATCCATATCAATTTGACTTATCTGGAGTGGAAGTGCAACTAATGCAAATGCTTCCACAAAAAGATCGATGACAGCTCAAGTTCAGATATCATGCAATATGAAACTTCTAGTTAGTAAATACCAACATATATTCCGCGATTAAATCTATCTATCTATATATATATATATATATATATATATTACAAAGAAGATCACATTAAGGGCATTGAGTTAAGCATATCCTTCTCTCCTGCAGCTAGCGTACATTGAAATTGTCCTTCTCCTTCTTGTTCTTCCTTTTCACATATAGCCATGCAGATAGTCAATATAGTTATAACAATGGGGGTGGTGGGGGTGGTGGGAGTGGTACACCCTGCCGTTTTAACTGATTTCTTGTAGGTGATGGCGGAGAGGGCAGTATCGCGCCTGATTTCATTAAAATCCTTCTGTTGCTATACACGACCACACTTGCACGTCGAGAGCAGCCTTCTTTGTCCAGAAACATCTTCCTCCAGCTACTTCCACATAAAAGGACATCAATTGGACTCTTCTCTGCACCTTTTAGAACATATGTATAAAGTGATAATACCAAGTGAGACGCCATAGATTTGTGAACAAGAGGCCAAGAAACAGAGAAAAAAAAAAAGCTCAAAAACCAAGTGAGATTCACAAGTGCATGTAAGGGTGATAGTGAAATGACATAGTATAATGATGATAATAATACCAGAAGGAACTAGAGCACAACTAGATGGGAGTTGGCCTGCGAGAAAAAGTAACACTATTGCTGCTGTTGCCAACTGCACCAGATCTAGAGAAGTTGAAGACTGCTGCTGCTGCTTCATGTTTTGCTGCAACTCTACTCTGGGTGGGACGTTGTTAGTTAAAAGTACAAAGAATCCATTTATAAGCACAATATTTTCTACATTATTGGGTGTGGATGAATGAAAAAAAGAGGGCTAAAATTTTCAAAGTTGACTCTTGACTTTGAGGCTGTGCAATGTTGACTCTTCACTTCTATTGCTTTCCAAGAAAGTGCAATGCAGTTTCCATCAGTGCGTAGGTGGGCTTACCTTTACAGCTCTACTGCCCTAGACGGGATTTTTCAGAATGAGCATACTTGAGGGGATAAAGTATGGCTTCCCGTGCGGAAAGTTTGGATGAATGTGATTTATATGGGATTTTTACGTTAATTTAAATTAATTGATTTTAAGTTAATTATGTATTTTATTTTTTAATAAAAAAATAATTATGTTTGAACAAACTGTTAATAATAAATCCATTAAAGGTGGTATTTGAACATCCCAAATAAGTTGGATTAATATCTCGCAATATGCTAACTTCTCGTATCAAAATATTTAGATACATGTATAATTTATATAGGATTTTTCGTTAATTTAAACTAATCTACGTGTTCTATCTTTGAACTAAAAGAATGGAAAAGTGATAATGCAATGGAATTATAAAAAATAAAAATAAAAGTTAATTTGTTACCCATGCAAATGCACCCAATTTTTATATTTATAATAATATTTAATTTAATTCATTAAAAATTTGCATAAAATTTTTGTAGATTCAACTTTTTGTTTTCATCATTAAATATTTGTATCTTCTCTTTTTTTTTTTTAATTAAATTTATATATTTAATGTTAAAATTTTTTATTTGATTTTTAATTTCATAAATTGAAAGTACAAAATTCCAAAATAAAAAATATAATTTATCAACAAAATTTTCAAATAACTTTTTGACCTCCATCTTAATTTAGAAAGTATATTAGAAATATTTAAGATATTGAAATTTTTAATTAAATTTATTCATAAATTTAATTGCTTAATTGGTAAAAAAGAGAAATTTGCTTTATAAAAAAAAGATTTACATAAAATCCAAATGTAGTAAGTATATATAGATCCCAATAAATTATAAGAAAAACTGATAATTAAGATAAAGTGTATATAAATTTTAATAATGAAGCTGATCAAAAGAATAAAGAAATTTGAAATTGAAAAAAAAATGGGATGTAGGAAGTCGAATTGAAAAAAATTCATCAATTCTAAACTATTCCTCAATCCTTTGGACATTTATCTTCTTTATGCATGCACCCATGATCAAAATATTTCATTCATTAAAACAAAGAGAGAATGATTAGAAAATTTCAATTTAAAATTTTTATCACCATAATAGAATAAAATTTAAAATAGCAGCAATAGAACTAATATATATTAACAAAAAAATTACATGAAAATCAAGAAATAAAAACTTTTTAAAAAATAAATCACATACCTCAAGGAAACAAAAAAAAATGTTTTTTTTTTTTTTTTGAAAAGAACCATTGTTTATTCTTATTGATTGTATAAATCATTGTAAAAAAACATAAAAATAGAGAAACTTAAGCGAGAAAATAAAATTTTGAAAAAGAAATATGAATGAAAAAATATTTTTAGACGAAGAATCTGAAGAAATCTGACATGGAAGGAGTAAAAAAAAAGAGTTTTGAATAAAATAGAATATAAAAAATCTATTATGTTTTCAATTCTATATCAGGTATTTTAAAATATAAATAATTGAACATGTTTTTATCTGTTGGGCTAAAAGCCTCCAATCCAATCACACCAATGGAAGCGAAATTAAATAATAAATCAAACACACAAGAGATAATAATTTAACGTGGTTCGGTCCAACTGACCTACATTCACGGATGAGAAACAAGATCCACTAGTTGTAGAGAATTACAAACATATATCATATCATCAACCTCACTCAGCAATCAATACTCATAAGACACTCTCAATCTCCTCTAGTCCTATGGAGTATTCTCAACCCAAACAAATACAAACCCAAACCCTTGTGCACTCTTTCAACATAACCAAACACATACTCATATGCTCTCATACATCATACCTATGTGGACCCTCTCAATCTCTTCTAGTCCACTCACAAACAAACATACACACCCATAAGACGTAGAGCCCCAATACTCCTCTAGGGTGTTTATCCCATAAAACCCTACAACTCTCTTACATATTTTTTTCATACCTAACCCTGTAGAGACTTCACCTATTTATAATCATACAAACGTGCCCATTAAGAATCCCTCTCCTCTTAGAATTCTTCTCCTGTAAGTCAAACTTGCCTATTAAGAATCCCTTTCCTTTTAGAATTCTTCTCTTGCAAGTCAAACTTACCTATTAAGAATCTTTTTTCTTTTAGAATTCTTCTTTTGTAAGTCTTCTTATCCATCAAGCAATATCTGAAAAATCTTAAACAAATCTCTAACAAATCTCAAACAAATCTCTTATGGGATTTGAGTCAATATTTCCAACAATCTCCACCTTGACTCAAATTTCATCAATCATCTATCTTTATGCTAGACATGCTTGGCTCCACCTACAATGGAAGTCTCACAATCATCTTCTCTTCTCTTGTGTCTTCATGTTTCATACAAACCAATCCTCAATCTTCAAAACTCGAACTCGAACTCTTCTCTCGAATCGAGCTCTTCTGAACTTGCTTCTTTTCATGTCTCAAATCATGCACTTCCCAAACCTTTAACTCTTCCCACATCTCGAACTTTCAGCTCTTTTACATCTTGAATCTTCAACTCTTCTCACATTTCAAACCTTCAGCTCTGATACCACTTGTTCGAGAATACCACAGCTCTGATACCATTTGTTGAAGAACACCACAGCTCCGATACCATTTGTTGGAGATCACCACAGCTCTGATACCATTTGTTGGGCTAAAAGCCTCCAATCCAATCACACCAGCGAAAGCGAAATCAAATAATAAATCAAACACACAAGAGACAATAATTTAACATGGTTCGGTCCAACTGACTTACATCTACAGATGAGAAATAAGATCCACTAGTTGTAGAAAATTACAAACATACATCATATCATCAACCTCACTCAGCAATTAATACTCATAAGACACTCTCAATCTCCTCTAGTCTTATGGAGTATTCTCAACCCAAACAAACACAAACCCAAACCCTTGTGCACTCTTTCAACATAACCAAACACATACCCATATGCTCCCATACATCATACCTATGTGGACCCTCTCAATCTCCTCTAGTCCACTCACAAACAAACATACACACCCATAAGACGTAGAGCCTCAATACTCCTATGGGGTGTCTATCCCATAAAACCCTACAACTCTCTTACATTTTTTTCTCATACCTAACCCTGTAGAGACTTCACCTATTTATAACCATACAAACTTGCCCATTAAGAATCCCTCTCCTCTTAGAATTCTTCTCCTGTAAGTCAAACTTACCTATTAAGAATCCCTTTCCTTTTAGAATTCTTCTCTTGCAAATCAAACTTACCTATTAAGAATCCTCTTTCTCTTAGAATTCTTCTTTTGCAAGTCTTCTTGTCCATCAAGCAATATCTGAAAAATCTCAAACAAATCTCTAACAAATCTCAAACAAATCTCTTATGAGATTTGAGTCAATATTCCCAACATTATCCACATACTTAAATGGATGTTTTTATCTGCTTATTTAACTGAAGACTTAAAATATGTATTAAAATGAATATTTTAAAGTCTTTAAATCAAAATTTTTAAATAGTAATTCATGCATTCTCTTATAAATTTAAACAAATGTAAATATTTTAAATGGATTTGAATAATATTAAATAAAGTAAATAATTACATATCCTTTTATCTGTTTTCAAATCAATATTTGAATATTTATTATTATTTAATGATTTAATTTAAAAGTTTTTTTATTTGGTTATTTTGATAATATATTATAATTATTTATTATTATCTTATGTGTCATCTAAAAAAACTATCACCTAAGTGTCCACTTAAATAAATTTATCAGATTTGTATGTGATGTTATAATAATATTATATATTGATATTTAATTTATTATTTTGATTTCAAAAATGTTTAATAAAATATCTAAATTATAAAATTATTAATTAATATAATATTTAAAGAATTATTTATCAAATACATAATTATTTGAAACTAATATTATTAAAACTAAAGATTATACTAATAAATATATTCATAATTTTAATATATTAAAAATTTTAATATTTAAATACTATATAAAATATTTTATTATAATTCAAAATTCATATTCACAGCGTTAGCACTGCTTAAAATACAAACGCTAATGCCTCAGGCACAGATCAATGTCCAAGTATCAAGCAGGTTTACAAAGATAAGAGTAAAGGCCAAGTCTGCAGCGATGAAATGACCCAATTGATGAATTAATTTAATACCCGGCCGATCCTTCATTTTGTTTGTTTTCTTTCTTTTCCCTTTCCTGCCCGACCTCATATTGCATTAAGTTTTTTAGCAGAGGATTCAAGATTTTTTAAAAAATTAATTATTTTTAATATAAAAATTATTAATTTTATCAACAAAACCTTTTTTTAAATGTGTAGGAATTTTTTTTTAATTTTTTATTTTCTAATATATAAAAAGTGTTCATAAACATTTTATTTTAAAAGATGAATTCGGAGTCTTGTGTAAATTTAACTGTATATTTTTTTCTTCTGAACCACCAATTAATACTTGTTTAGCTTGTGCTAAGCATGTTTGAGAAAAAAAAAAAAAACAATATCTAATTCACAAACCTATATATAAAGTATTTCAATTTATGCAGTAGCCAGGTGGCAAAATTCAATGATGCAGCTGGAACTTGGAATTACACGCATCTAATCTGCAGAAGCTGCAGTGATCAAATTGGAATTTACTTGTTTTTATTCTCCATTACTTTAATTTGAATACAAGGACCTAATTTTTTTCAAAACCAGCTACTACTTTGTCATTATAACTATAATAAAATACATTGTTCTGCAAGTTGACATAAAATATAACAGCAGCACCTTCAACTCTACGCATGCAATTTTGGACACGATTTGGTTATAACCTTGACTACCACCATTAATCAATTTGATCACAATTATGAAAAACTAAACCTACTCATGGGTTAAGTGATATGTTCGAATCTGAAAATTTGTCCCAAATTTTGACATATTTAAACATTAATATTAAGTTCGCTA